AGGATGTGTAGATGTGGCTGAAGATAATTTGATGTTTATCGTTAAAGGTAGGTAGCCAGTTGGCCATGGGAGTTGAACCCATTGAAATAGCAGACAATAGGCCAGAATAACTGAAAATATTAGTTAGCGAACTAGTTACATAGAATACAGGAAATAAATCATAAGGCAATAGATGTAATTGGAAAACCCATATTTCCAGAAACTTCAGACCAAAGTCTTTATGAAATAATGACACCTCTCAAAGAATTCAGAAAAAGGAACCTTTTATACATTTATAAAAAAACATGACCATTACAGCAGGGACTTTGACGAATCAACAGTTTTTAATACACCATAGATACAATATCCTAAGGGGTGAGATTTAGAGCACAACGAACTCAAAAGAACAACAACGACTTAACTATACGCTAGAAAAACCTTCCAGTGGCACAGCAGTATGTCTGCAGATTTACAACTCTAGAAACCAGGTTTCGATACCCGTAGTGGCAGAGCACAGAAACAAACATCAGAATAACAGGAATTGGGGAAAAGTTCAGCCAAAATGCTCCATGTGTCTCAAATGAGATAAGAAGTTCATTATTTAAAAAATCAGTAGATGAATCCATGGGTTTATTAGTGGGAAGCCTTGCAGTATGTTGATTGGCAATCGTTCTACAACTGTGATTGTTCAACCCACTTTGATAATTAAAGGTTGGAATTGCTTCCAAAGATGGTAAAAGGATTACAGTCAGGGAAAATCATGCAGTATTGAAGTAGCTATTACATTTTCACAATCCAAAAAGCCAGATAGCAAGATGACTTCAGAAACTTCAGGAGTGCACCTTTAAATTTGTGAATTACCTTGGATGAAACTACAGAAATTATAGTACATTATCCCGAAGACCATGTAATAATGAAGAATGTAAACGTTATTAAAAGAGGAAAGCACGAGATAGTGAAGAAAACCAACCTAAAGTTAAACAGAGTATAGGCCAACATGGAATTTCTACAAGCAGTTATGAAAACTAATGTAGAATGACAAGCAACTAAATTACTCTGACCTAGCATGGATGCTCCTTACTGTGCAGTAGGATCAGACTTGACCAGAAATAGCAGGGATTCACGTAGCATTTTTACAAGCTGTTATGAGTGTAAGAAGGTGTGCTGTGTTGTTGCTGTCAACTCACAAGGCAGGATGCTATAAGTACTGCAACTGATGGTCGTCATAACTCAGTAGCAGAAACTACTCCAAGTTTAGCACTACATAAAGACTGTATGGCACTTGAAGGCATTTCTGACCATAAGTGAGTCAAGATATTTAACACTGCCATAAGCACTGAATCATGTGTGCCAGCCAGAGTGAAAGAATAAGCTTCATCAGAAAATTTTTAATCTTCTCCAAAAGATATACCTGGATATTACTGGTCCACTCCCATAAACTTTGAGAGGTCATTGATACTGACTACTTCACAGTGTAGGCCAATCTTATCCATTGGCTGATATACAAACCCAAACTGTTATAGATGTGTTAGCAAAAATGGATAGCCAGATTTGTAACAACAGAAGAAATCCACAAGAATCATGGAGCTAACATAAATCAACAGCCAGCTGTTTGCTGTTCAATAATCTTCTTTCATATGCCGCATAAAAGCTTTTGGTACATTGGATGGACCAGGAGTCTGAAGAAGAAACTAATGAGTGAGAATAGAATAGGGATACTTTCTCAAGTCATCCTGCTAAGACTTATTTGGCAATCTCTGGTGAACCAGAGGAGGTGCCATTAGAGGTGAAAGCAACTACCACCGCCGAAAAGTGCACAAGATGGTAATGTCAGCTTCCAGCTAAAATGATCATTACGTCGAGCAGCTGATAATTGAAAGGAAGTATTATTGGAAAATGCAGTATACCTGTTAACACTAATAAAAGATGTTGAAATATTTGGCATTTAGATAATTTTTCCTAGGAAGAAATAAAAGTAACAAAGATAATCTCATTATGGCTGGAGAGAGAAACACAGTTTTGCCTGAGGTTTGAAGAATATAGTTTTACCTAGTGCTTGTGACACAGTTTTGCTTGGTGTTTCTAAACTATAGTGTGAATATTTTCCTTGGTAGAAAAGTACAATTGGACACTAGGACAGGAATTGGTAAAGTTGTGTAATAGCCACCAAGATGACTGGGATGTCTTACTCCCTCCACTGTTGATGGCCTATAAAACAGCAGAGCATGAAGCCACAGAATACACTCCAGCAAAGTTGATGTTTGGTCGGGAACTTCGGTTGCCAGTGGATCTGTTAACAGGACGCCCACCTTATGAAGAGTTGCCTGAGAATGTGTCAGAGTTTGTGAAAGTGTTATCGGAAAGGATGGATGATATTCACCATCAAGTGCATACAAACTTGAAAACGTCTGCTGATTCGATGAAGTTAACTTATGATAAGAGATCTACTGAAGTCAGCTTTGTACCAGGAGACAAGGTATGGTTGTATAATCTCAGGAAGACCAAAGGGAAGTCTCTTAAATTGTCTTCTACATGGGGAGGCCCATATGACATAGTGGATCGTCTCTCAGACGTAACTTTTCGAATAAAATGTGGTCGGCGAGGTAAGCTGAAGGTGGTGCATGCCAACAGGTTTGGCGTTATCACAGTCCAGGACATTTCATTTGGAATGAAGTGAACAACGGAACAAATGATGCTGCTGTAGACGTTTCACCTGAAAAAGCCACTGTTGAAGAAGAAATTCTACCCGATTTTGAGAAGGAAAACAGTGAAGCCGTTAATGAAGTTACTACCACTGATGTGACTGTTACCGATAATGGGACATTTCCTGGTGAAGCAGATGAACCCCATGTGAATCAGAAGCCAATCAGATAGAGACGGAAGAAAATACTTCCTGTAAAATTAAGAGACTTTGTATTATTTTAATTTTGTGTTTATAAATTCTGTACATTTAATCAAGCTATTGTTAATTATCTATTGGTTTAATGCAAGTGGCTATTGTTCATGACGAACAATACTAAGGAAGGAGCGGTGTTACAACAGCGGAAGTCACGCGGTGCTGGGAGCATGAGCGCTGGAGTTTCTAGAAGGATCATGAATTATCGAGGAACCTCGCGAATGTCCGAGTGTTTGCCAGGCACCCTCTATTTTTTAGTATATAAGCTCGGCAAATAAAGCCAGCGAGAGAAGATATATAGATAGATATAATTGAGTCTAGCGAACAGTAGGCACCGTAAGTAAAGTGTGTGAATCACTGTGATTTATAACGTGTGTTATAAAAGTTGTTAAGTGGATTACAAAGTTGTAACGAGAAAGAATAAACCAGTTTTAATGAAGAAAGGACTTGTATCGCTGAAGTCACTGGGAAAGAATTTTTACCAGAAATTATCAAACAAGCAGATACGTAACAATATTGTTACGT